CACGGCACATGCTCCAGAAGGGTCCCCATCTCCGACCGGGTGCATGGCGTCCCCAGGATAAGCCTGCTGGGAAGGAACCCACGAGCCCCACTGGCCCCAGTCCCCCTGTCCCCCCACCCAAGGCTCCGGCGTGTTCCCAGCCCCAGCCAGCACTGTAGGGCAGCCACACGTGACACATACGTGGCAGCTTATAGAAAGGCTTGGGGAGACTTTCCCCCCCTTTTATTGAAAAAGATCATTTCTATTCTAGTGCAAACACTGTACATTTTACATCACAAAGCAAGAGATAATTTACAGGATACATTTCCATCTGGGAGTCCCTCCTGTGGCTTCACGCGTCAAGCTCCACCAGCCTCATCAATCATCCATCCCTGTCATGCTCAAAAATCCCACTTAGAGGGAATCAGACACCTCTTTGTGTCGAGAAAAGGGAGGCCTGAGAAAACAGCGTTCTTACAAAGCAGGCGAGAGGAATGTGCCTCAAGACCATTTTCTCCCCTGAATGGTACCCAAACTTAGTGATAACCAGGGTAACCATGGCAACTTCCTAGAGACTTAAAGTCTGCTAAAACCCTGAAGAACTCCATGCTTTCAGGATAAGGCCCTTAATTTGCACATATATTTACATGGTTCAATAAAATAGATTAAACGTACACAATCATAAAATTTCGCTTTGGCTTGACAGACAACTAGACGCTGTCCATTGGCTGAAGTCATCAGCAATTAAGAAACAAACAACAAAACCCGTCCATTCATCCAGCAAATCCATGTTAACGAAGCAGTATTGTCTCGGATGCTCTGGTTTACATCTTGATGTCGCCCAGCTCAAAGGCAATGTAAAGGTCTCATCTGTACTAACAACAGCCCAGTCAGCTGTGATGGCATCCCCAACCAAGGAGCCCAACCCAAGGCAAGACCCAACTATAACTGGAGGCGCAAAAACTTATACAACCTTCCCGTGGGAGCAGCCCCATACAAGTCAGTTCAATCCCTCACACAAATAAAAGTGAGAAGGGTGAACAAGGGTTTGCACAGGCATTTATGTGAACCTTCTTCATGTAAACATCACCCAGGGATGGATATCTCGGTCCACAGATGGATAACAGGTTAACAGGAGCTTCATGCTCTCTGAACTGTCTCCTTGCTAACTTCAGAAATGGATGCTTGGACTGTGTCTAAGGTACTAAGGAAAGCTGCTCAAGGTGGTTTTTCTTACGAAAGAAGAAGCAAGCAAAGACTAGGGGAAAGCCACAGGCCATCAAGATGCTGAAGGAAAGAGCTGAACCCCCCAGGGAGGACACTCGGGCACCCTCAGGCCACCGCGGGGGAGTTGGTTCAGGCTGCTGTCGCTGCTGGGATGTCGATGGATTGCAGAGGAAGACAGCAAGGGAAGGAGAGGGAAGAGCACCAGGCTAAGGCACTCAATGACCGGTTCAACCTCTGAGTAACATTACATTGCACCAAGTCCTTTTTCTTTCTGATTGTGCCGGACATGTTCTTCAATAGTTTCTCTGTTTGTGTGGGCACAGGAACGAAGAGTGAGTTTCTAAGTGAAGGCTGAGATTTCCAATGTGATCACTTGGCTCCAGCAGCTGGAATGACACTACTCGTGACAGAAATATTTTGGTTTAGAGATGTTAGCTTCTCCAGAGCACAGAAGAAAAGGCCAAAAAAAGGGATCAAACAGAACATCACGGATTTCTTAAAACACAGTGCTTGTCCCGCCTTGCTTCTCCTGCTGGTGTTCTGTCTGCAAATGTGATCTCCGACTTTTAGGTTTTTGTCCTGATCACAATTATATTTCCTTTTTTTCCCCAAAAAAATATCCATACAAGGAAAAGAAAAAACCCAAAACCCAGCAGCAACACACACAATCATGGGCACAACTTACACCAGTTTGGAGTTGGGGCTTTTTTCCCCAGTGTTAGCTCAAATACTTTGGCTGGATTTCCATACATCCTCTGCCAGTTTAATTTTCACCTTCACTTTAAAGAGATTTCTTTCTCATTTCCTGCAACATACTATTTTAGACTATCAAAGCCCACTGTCAGACATCTATATATGCCCAGCATGTCTGCTAATTGCCAAGATGAAGACCTAAGCCACTCTACCAGAAGTATCCCTCACGACTGAGCTTCATTCTCCTTTCCCTTATGGTCCAGCCTGGACCGTGGAGTAGCTCTGCTACCTTCAGTGGGACTATTCCACAGCAAAGTCTCACTTTGTTCGGGCAGGTGTCCTGCACAAGCACTATTTGCCATAAATAAGTCCCCTCCTCTTCTCCAATTTGAATGAGGCAGTCATTACCAGCAACATGAAAGATCCTAACTTCCTCAGGATGCTTGCATGGAACCCTTTTGGGGTGCATCTCCTCTACTCTTCATGCAGAGCAGGAGCTTAGGTCCTAATTAGCTCTCCAGGCCCCAGGGGAGGGAGGACAGCAGGTAGGGAGAGCAAAGAAGAGTGGTTAAGGCTATGGGACAAGTCTCACTGGGCGGTGTTATGGGAACTGGCGGGAGATCCGGTCTTTGTGTGAGATGCTCCCTGCTGAAACATTATCTGCCCTCAGAGGGACTGGCAGAGACTTTCCATAGGGATGTCCTTGTGTGTTCCCAAGAGCCACATGACTGGAGAGGAGATCCTCATCTTATTCTATGAAGCTGCAAACGCCCATGGGAAAAAGTCTGCAAAGGAGCATGGATCCCTCCAGCTCCATTTCTGTGGGGTTTCTCACAGGAAGACGTGAGCTGGCCATTTCAAGCGCTGCCTGAGGCTACCGGGAAGAGCTCTGACAAGGGTGAGAGAGGCTGCGGCTGGAATTTCAATGCACGGCTCCAGGAACCTGGATGCAGCACAAACATCCCAAACATTTTCAATGGATTTTATTATGTTTAATAAAAAACACCAACCAAGCTTGCATGTATATCTTATATATATAAATATATACAGTATATATAAAACAAATGCATCTGGACAACGCCTTTCCCTGTGGCGCAAACTGTAAGGCATAGAAAGGAGTGTCCTAACAGTCCTATTCTTGGCACTACAGAGCAATCCCTCCACTACAACCCCCCACCGCTCACACACCCACGTTGGCTTTTCTCTCTTCTTTGGCTTTTCAAGGCGGCAGTGCTGGGGAATACTCAAGAAATCAACGAAGCGCTGCGAAGCCCAAGGAGGTCTTCCTCACGTCTCGGACTGGTCCAGGCAACCCGGGCAGGATGACCCCATCTCGTTGCACCAACAGGCTTCTCCCAGACTAACGGTAATGGTGCTGCCTCTGTGGCACAAGGGACTGGAGGGATGAAGGGTAAGGCAGATACAACGGAAAGCGGTGACCAAACAACTTCTTCTTCTAGGGTGAGCTGGGGCAGGGGGGGAGAGGAGCAAGCTTTGCATCTCAGCACGGTGGTGGGTGGGACACATCCACGGGCTGAGATCGGCAGAGGTTTCTTTTTGCAGTCCCATACAAAAATTGAAACCAACAAGGGTGAGACTGTCCTTTACTGAAGAAGCTCGTAGTATATTGAGCAGAAGCAATAAACCTGACAATAACAAGAAAAAAAATGGTGGCATAATCCCAAAAGGAAGAAAGAACCTTGTCATCACGAGCGGTTCATTTGCTCCCAATTTGGTCCCCATGTTCAATTCTGGGTTAGGGTTGGCTTTTTTCTTCTTTTTTTTCCTTTTTTTTTGTTTTTTTTTTTCTTTTTTCTTTCAGCACAAACAAGTTGCAAAGCAGGACGGGTGCTGTTGAATTTTCTCCTTCTGCAAGGCAGCTGCCTCCAGTCGTTAATTGACTGTGGGCACTTGATTCCTCTGTAAACTATATTCCTTTGCCTTCAGTCTCAGGTTGGCAATACTGTTGGCCATATTCATGCCCTGTGCCGGGCTGGCGTTGGTACACGTGGCAGAGTAGGTGGCCATGGCACTGTGGGATGGAAAGAGAAAAACATCATGTCAGACGTGGTCTTCACAGCGTGCAGAGAGCAGACGTGCACCCCAGCGAGGTTAAACCCCGGGGTTTCCATACCTGCAGGATGTATTTCTTATGTGAGCAGGGAATTACCACTACTTTTTATTTAACGCTCCTGTAAATTTCTCTGCTGCAGTTCACTTACCCAGGGATAGCCAACGCCAAAGCTGGCTGAAATCAACAGGACAATTTTTATTTCCTATTTTCTAACCCAAAAGTTTTACAATGAGGTCAAGGTGCCCAGCCTGCCAGTTAGACAGTTGTCCTTAAAAGTATTCCCACTGGAAGCAATGTCTTTTTGATGAGACTAATTGCTGGTTTTATTGCTTTTGTGAAATCACGTCACTTCTGAAACATATGTTACATTAAAGAAACACTCTGGGAAAAACCCATTTCAACAATTGTGATGCTTTTTGGTTTCAGCCTTTTGGAATGAAAATTTCCACATTTTTTCCCTCAAAACTTCAGCTGATCATAAAGAGCATGCCTTAAAGGCTGAGGGGAAAAAAAACCCAAAACATTTTTTTCTCCCTTCAAATCATGACTTTATTCATGAAAAACATTACTTTTGGCAGCAGAGGCTGAACAAAGATCTCCGAGTCCTTTCTTATCCTACCAAAAATTTGCAAATTTGCTTTCCAGACCACTAGAAAACTTGTTTAACCCATGTGTCCCAGGTTTCTGTGAAAAACAACTCCCCCCTAGCCCCCCAAACCAGCAAACTATCTGACCTGTTGCATTTCCTATACATAGGTCCACAGATCAAAAACAGTCGAAAAACACCAAAGTGAACTAGAGACACCCATTTAACGCAGCCAGCGTGTTTAGGAGGAAACCACAAATGCTCTCCTGGAGGCAAGCTCAGGTCTGGTGCTTAACCTTTCCACCTGCCAGCCCATCTGAGGCTCTGAGAAACGCTCTCCTCCATCCCTAGCCCAAGAAAGAAGACAGCTTGTTTTTTTTTTTTTCCTTTTTTCTTTTCCTTTTTCTCTCTTTTTAAAAAATTTCTTCCAGCGCTGACCTCCACGACTGGAAGAGTCTTTGCAACAGCAAATCTCCCTTGAGGAAAGTGGGCATTTGCTGCGCAAACAGATCCAGGCTGTGGGCATGTATGCTTGCCCCAAAGCGCTGGTGGTATCTCTGACTTCAGAAGGCAGAGCCAACCTGCAAGGAGTTTAAATGCAATCCAATGCTGGCTGAATCCTCAGCCTCCAGGAGATCCAGACCAGGTAATACTAGTAGGTTCCACCCCAGGCCAAATGACTCCTATTTCTCACTTTAAAATGAGGGAAAAGAACTTCAGGGAGGAACTGTCATCTTTGCATCAGGACCGGTGGAAACACAACAGCTTACACGCACAGAAAGGACAGGTAAGATCCATAGATACAAAGCTGTGTACACCCATCCAGGGAAAAGCCCTGAAAACCCTCCCCAGGAGAGCAAACATACTTTGAGAGTCTCTAACAGCTACTGGAAGGACATGGAGGACGGACATTAAAATACATATATCAAGATACAGGCTCAACTCTGCCCAACTTGGAGTGCAAGGACTGTATTTTGCCGGGGTCCAGGACGTGATGGATCAGTGTGCCTGGAGACTTCCCCACATGGCTGCGCACCCCCTCAGCTCCCTCTCCATGGCCAGGTTGGTGACTTTTCCCTCTCCTCCCCGCTAAGTCAGCAGCAACGTGAGAAGCTGAGTGCTGCCTGCAGAGGCATTGCAGTTTCACAAGGTGTATAGCCCATGACTGCTTAAGCACCCATTCCCACCCACTTCCACAGGGTGCACCTCCCCTATGTTTTTGTACTGGAAGAAATTAGAAGGGCCTCAAAGATACTCTACATTAGATAAAATTGGAATTTTCAGTCTTGGATGTAAACTGTCTCTATTCAAATCCAGACTGCTGCCCAAGTCTGGTCTAAAACTCCAGGGAGCCTCCTCTTCTCAGCTCCCCAGAGGTGTGGGGAAAATTACCATTTCCCAGTGAAATCTTTGCTAAACCAAAAATCTCCAGAAACGCTCTCTTTTAGCAAGTTATTCCACAAGGAGCAGTGTGCAAGACGGCTGTCTCCAAACATCAGTATAATTTGAGGGTTGCTCCAGAGACTCTCCAGGGTCTAATAAGGGTTGAAGTCATCCTGCTGCCCACTCTCTCCACCCCATTCAGGCACAGGAGGAGTCTCCTTCCTCTACTCAGCTGCCTGCTTTCATGAAACACAGAGGAACATCATGTTTCTGAGGCCTAAAATCCTTCTTTCAAATACGGTTTTCAATGGCCCGTGGAGTCAAAGCCTGTTGGAGTGGGAAGTGCAGGCTGACAGCGCGACTGCTAGTCTTGTTTTCTTAGGAACCTATGCTAAAAAATGTCTAAGCAAAACATTTCAACTTCAAAAAAATAATAGTATCTACTTGGCTATCTATGTGACAGATCTGCAAATAGCTTTGGTTGACCTGTGGCTGAATGTATTTGGAGAATAAACACGCTGATTGAAAACTTTCCCCAGATCTAAGAGTAAAAACAGCACCGGCCACGCAGCTCTCAGCCCTCTCCCAGACCAGCCGTTAATCAGGGGCTGGTACGGCAGCACCGGAGAGATGGGGAGGGGGCAGAGGGCCATGCAAACACTCTGCATGGCTGTTTTTCACCAAGTGTCCAATACTTTAATAACCCTACTCAGTTCAAAGCTTTAATGAGGCTGTGACAACCTCAGGTGCCCATTAAGATGAATGTGATTGCTAAGAGATGGCCAGCAGGATTAGAAAACCTGGGGACCATAAATTGTCTGAGGGTCCCGACTGCCATACATTGTGGAAACCAGTTGCTCTGCTCCTCTGCCAATGCCTCCACCCCTCTGCAGGGCAGTGGGAGGGTGACAAGTCTGTCCTGGCCAGGACGTGTCAGCCAGCAGGGACAGCTGTAAGCTGCAAATGTCTTTGCTGAAACATCTTGGCTTACGACAAGGCGAAGATATCAAGACAGCGAGGATGTTTTCATACCATGGAGAGGCACAGCCAGGTCTGCACCTCAGGGGGAGAAAAACTATCCCTAAGGTTTTCCCTTCTCCCTTGCTCTCCTCATTCGCACATCCCAGATGCCTCAGGCTTCTCATTGCCCAGAGTGGCCCCAGACAGCCCTTCCCAGTGTGCCCCTGGAAGTTACCTTTGCAGGGTCTTCTAGAAGCCGTTATGAAGCCCCTCGTGTAAACAACATCTTGGGAGGGACGATCTATTTTTAAAAGTGTGAGAGGTAGAAGTAAGGCACAAACGTTCAGTAGGGATCTGGTACTGTGACCAGAGCAGTCTCAGTGGGGTGGGGAAGGACCTGTGCTTCTCTTCCCTGAACTCACCACCCAGACTCCTCCCTAGGATGCTACACCAAGAACACTTCACAGAGAGAAAGCCTTAACCCCAAAAGGGGGATTTTGCCAGACAGCAGTCCTCAGGTAAAATCCAAAGGATAAGGGCCATCTCTAAGACCAAGCTGGTGGTCATCAAAACCATCCTTTTCAGTACCTGGAGTGAGTGAACCTGTGACTTGTTCTGGAGCTACAGGGTGGATGAAGAGAACCCCATGGCACTGAAGCAACAAACTATGAGGAAGGCCATGTGTTTGCAGACCTAACTGCGCAAACAATGTTTGGGGTGCAAGAAGGGGGTCAAGGTGACCAAGGAAGAGAGGTCCTGGGCATAATGTGGCCCCTGGAAGCCAGTGGGAAGCTGGCTGTGACCAAGCCAGATGAACAGGAAGAAATCCAGCCAAAGGCTCTAAGGTTCTGACCAACAATGAAGCCACTGTGCTAAAAAATACCCACCAACCTAATTTTTAACTGCCTGCAAGCCAGCTGGCTCCCCACAAACCAACACATCCTGTGGCTCGTGTGTCCACACCCAGTTCCTGCTGGGTTGTGGATGGCACGGAGGAGGACAGGGAGGCCTGTGACATGCATGGACATCCCAGGTCCTTTGAGCAAACTGGGGCTGCCACATCTGCACTTCTTTCCTGCCACCACTTAAGCAGCACTGGCCACAGGAGATGGACATTGAGTACCAGTCTGCCAGCCAGAGATACCTGGTCCTTATTGTGGGCAAACCACAGCACAGCACAACGGCACAGCTCCTTCATGCACACATTTGTGCTCTAGCAACTAGAAAGAAATTGCTCACCAGTTCAGCGCTGACCATTGAGGGGAGAATTGGGAGCAACATGCATGGAGTGATTTCCCAGTCCTTCCTTGCATTCCAACCAGTGACTGCAATGGGACAACCACGGAACTCCCTCTTCTGGCCACTGTGTGGTGGCTGAGCCTCCCCAAGTGTTCTGCCATCACCTCCCCTGGATCTGTGTCCCATGGAAAAGTTTCTTCCTTGCTTTAAACTGGATGCACTAGGGAAGCAAGTGCAAGCACTTCTGTTTCCATGTATCTCTACCTGATCCTTTTACAAAACTTTCTAAATTGCAGAGATCACCAAAATAGAAGCCACAACCTCCCATGGAGTCAGCTGCCAGAAAGCCAAAATGATGCTGAAGCAAGCCCACCTTGCAAACCTGGCAGTGAGATGGGGTGGGATGGGAACAGGTAAGGAAAACCAGTGGGGTGGTCTAACTGCTGTATTCTCCAGTAGTCTCATGTGAATATAAACAGCCCGTTAGAGCTGTCTAAGGGCCACTCTCAGGCTGCTCTATACCATGCCAGAAACTCATCAGCCCCAAAGGTGTTGTTCACTTACCTGTAAGGCGAGGCGGTACCCCAGGAGAGATAGTCGGTGGGTCTCGGAGCTGGGCGAGGTACTATGGGCTGCTCCACGGCGGTCACATCCCCTGAGTAGGATTTGAGCAGAGAGGCATTCTTGCTGGCCAGCATTGCTCTCTCGTTCCGGCGAAACTTGGCTCTCCGGTTTTGGAACCACACCTGGGGTGGGAAGCACACAGACCCACCAACCATCACAACCAGCTCTGCTGTGACACTCACCGTTTCACCACACCACCTCTGCCCTGCTGCGCAAGACAGGACTCTCTAAAAGCAGGCTGCTTTGGCATGCCTGTCACTGGAAACTCTAATGACAAGACCTGATAAAGATGCCCACGAGATGCCAACTGACCACTGTGTCCAGCTCACCCTGGAGAGCATCTGTTGTTCATTTAGTGGCCAGCCCAGCCCAAACTACGACACCATCATGCGAGGAACTGGCACAGTGAGATCCCTGTGGGACCAGGTCTGTCCTGTGCTGTAGGCAGCAAGGCCTGGGAGCGCTGTTCAATGCATCATGTTCCATGGTCTGCTTTGACCTTCAGAAGGTGCAGGCTTGCAAGCTTAGAGCTGAACAGCTCAAAATAACATGAGCAGCCTGAGCACAGGACAACCAACATCTTAGCCTTGAAAGAAACATATAAACATATCTGACTGGGCAGGTAGTAAGCACGATGGCAGATCAGGCCTGGCAGTCCTCCTCAAGGCATGGCGTGCCTGGGTCTGCAATAAAGCATGACTCAGAAGCTTGGTGACCTGATGGTGTGCCATGCAGACCTCAAGGACTTCTACTGCCATACCGGAATGGCCTGATGACACCCACCAGGTGACGTATAGCTGCAAGCTGTGGTAATTACCTGAACTCTGGCTTCAGTGAGGTTGACTCTGCGTGCAAGGTCTTCCCGTACAAAAGCATCGGGGTAGTGTGTCCTCTCAAAGACCCTCTCTAGTGCCTGGAGCTGACTGCTGTTGAAGGTAGTTCTGTTCCTTCTTTGCTTTCTTTTCTTCTTCTCTTCTGAGTTCAGCTGATCATCTAGGAGAGATAATTGGAGATGTGAAAGGCTAGAAAACCAAGAGCCCACAGCAATGGGCTAAATAACCTCAACAGTTTCAAGATGGAAAGGGCCTAGGAAGGCGCATGCACAGTTTCAACACCACACCTTAAACCGCGCTGTGTTAGTCCCCATGTAAAAAGGAGGTGGAAAGCGCATTGACCCTAAGCATTTATTTCCCAGCTCAACCACGTAAGACTTGTACCAGCTCTCTCAGGCTACCCCATGCCTCAGCTTCCTTATCTCTAAAAAGAAACAAAAAAGCCCCAAATGCATCTCCCCATTCCTGACAACCCTAGAAGCCTTTTCTGGCCATAAAGAATCACAATCCCCTGTTCTCTCGTCTACAAATTTCCAAAGACTGCCCCTACTGCGACATAACACAGCCTCCTGGGGTGAGCACGAGTCCTACACCAGCTCTTACTGACTGTGAGAAGGTGTGCCTGTCTCTGAGTAAGGAAAGTTCAAGGAAACGGCTATTACTCTTGGGCTTGACTACAGCCAAGGTAATGTCATTCTCTATATGTAGCTCCACTTGGCTTAAATGAGGACTGCATTCTCTTATCCTCCCCGCATCCAGACCCAGAGGCGTCAATTCCGGAAGAGATGGGGAGCTGTGAACAAAAAGGTATCAAACAGCGGAAATGAAGCATGACTGATACGGGCCTGAACAAGAGACAAGTACAAAAGCGAGTTTCACTTGTATGCTTGCAAGCCAAGGACACAGAAATACAGTCAGACGGACATGGATAGCATTGCAATTGGGAAGCAAAATCCCAGTAGGAAAGAGAATGAGCGCAAGCATGTTGGATACTGTTGACTGAAGAACAGCACACTCTCCAGCACCCCCCTTGCCTTACCCAGGCCAGCAAGGTGGTGAGCAACAAACTGTGCATCCTGTAAGAGCACATATTGGTTTATGCCTGGTTTGTATTTACGCCAGCAATAAATCAGTACATCCATACATCTGGAGTCCCACTTATCACTACTGCCTGTGCCTACGGTCACTGGAGCAGCATCAGTGCTGAGATAAGTATGAAATGTTTTTTCACTGCAAATACCTGCTCTGCACCACCTCTCCTTTTTCCAGTGCTGTTGCACATGCCAACGTAGCAGCAGCAATGGAGCTATCAATGCGCAGGCACTCGCAGGTACTGGCAAGCAGTGAGCGGCGGCTCCAGGGGTTTAAATGCTCTGTATTAGGAGAAGCTGGAGGCTATGCCACTGGTTTTGCTCCTACCCTACCTGTACCAAAGTATGTTCACTTATCACACCAGTCACAGCACAGCAAACACTTTGGTTACGGTGGGAAGCCACACCGAAGGAAGCGGAGAGCAGGGCACCAGCCTGCAGGAGGGGGAGGCCACCGCTGCCTTCGTAAAACAGCCCCAACCAGGCTGCTGGACTGGTACGCTGTCACCTTGTGCTCATCCCTCTTCAAGTGCTCCAGTACGTGTGGCGTCCCACCAAAACCATGAAGGCTTCTCATGCTCCTGCAGCCCCAGCCTTCAACGCTCCCAAGCACACTGGGCAGAGCCCCAGGTGGGCCATGTCAGCGTGGTCCCATCGTCTTACATCGAAGAACAGTAGTTACACCTGGGAGGATCTGAGCCAATATTCGTCAGCAGACGTTAAAATATATTGACTATTGTATCTATAAAATTGCAAGTGCTAGTGAATTATATTTTAAGTTAATCACTGCACACCTTGTCCCAGACGACAGGCTCACCACTGAGTGTCCAAGGGCTCGACCTGCTATATACAGTTGCAGAATATCCCCTCGACAGTCATTCCTCTCACCATATACAAATATGACAGCTCCCCTCATCCTCCTGTTCTCGAGGGGGTATGTAAGGCACAGGGAGAAGCTGACAAGGAAATTAAAGTCTACGGTTGTTGTCCTCACCACCTGTTTGTGTTGCTTTTCACAGCCCATCTGGTAACAGTTACTGCACCTGAACGCCTTTGGAGCAAGGCCCATCCATTTGGGAACAAAAGGACATTCCTCTTAAATTAAAGTCAGTTTTTCAAATTCCTGCGCGTTTACAGCTCCTCCGTCCCCAATCCTTCTCCAACAACCTGATGATGCCCAGCGGACTCCTTTCCAGCCTGGGGATTCCTGGGTGCAAAAATACGCCCGTGGTTTTCTTGTGTCTGAGAGGAAGCGTTTGGAGACCAGTTTTTAACAGGCGTCTTGAATTGTAAAGCTGAGCTGGGAAGGGACTGGCAGAGGCAGGAATGTGCAAGAAAAACAAACACACACGTAGGAATCCCAAGGCATTGAAACAAACCTACAGGTGAATCTATCCTGCTCAGGTGGTGGGAAGTGAAGCAGTGAAGCAGCGGGATGGGATGTAACCACTGGCTGTGCAGAACACCACGCATGCACGTCTACCTGCTGGGGGGTTTAGCGCTGCCACAGGGTCTGTGCCTTATGAAGAAGCAGAAAAGTCCTGCATGTTCCTCTCTTGACTCATCATCAAAGCTTTTGCAAAAAGGGTCAGTGATTTCCCCCTGGCTCTACTGGCGAGCTTCTATGTAGTTGTGCTGCTGCGTACCACACAACACAGCAAACAGCGAAGAACATGCCTCAGGGCACCATCGTCCCTCTGCGTGGCAGAAACATTGCAAGACCAGCTGCCATAGAGGCCAATGTCCACATGGGTGCCTGGCCTCCTTCTGAGTTATCCATTTGATGCCATTTTCGAATCTAAACCCTGCCTACGAGGACTGGATGAACAAATCGATAAAAGCCTTTGGGAATTCCCTTCAGGCCTTTGAAGCATCAGTTCCTGCCCAGAAGACGACACTCGGCTGGAGGGAGCACAAGCCCAAGGCTGTTTGGGCATCACCTGGATCCTGCGTGACAGCTACACATGAGGAAGGCTGAGCACATCACTCTGGGGAGCAAGAAGAAGGGCCAAAGCCCGTAAAACACTGGAGAACAAGAATCCCTCCTGCCAAGCACGTTAATACAATTTGCCTGGTTTCCTCCCAGCGTAAAGCGAGACACCAGTGATTCACAGCTCACCTCGTAATTACCGGACCCAAAAATAGCAGGGCCAAGAAATGGAAAGTCACAGGCAGTGACTGTGTTGCAGTGACTCATGGTCAGGTCACCGTTGGCTACCACACCTCCAGCATCGGCTGGCACACAGCAGGGACGTGAGTCACCCCCTTTTTCCAGGACGTAGCTGGATGGAGGTGGCACGACAGCAAAGCACAGCCAGTGATGGGGGGGGGTCAGGATTTTGAGATCTCCTTTCACTGCACCTCTGGAACAGCACAACACAGCTAGATCCAAATGTCTACAGGAGTTACTTGAGTAGCAGGAAAAAAAGAAGAATAATAGCCGTATTAGCCCAGAGTGCTGCTGGGTTGATCACTCTTTGCGTTTTGCCATGCAGACATGCCATATGTTGATTACAAACTGCTAACGAGGGATTGCAGACACCTAAACCCCAGGTGTCTGCAAATGTCACCTTGCTCACAGCAGTCACCGGCTGCCTTCAACATGTCACCAGGGTATTTTCTTTTTTCCCCTGCCATTATTTCTTTATCAGGAAACAACGCTGAACACTGAAAAATGGTATTCCTAAACAGTGTTGACAGCAGTAGTGACTGGAGTCAGCAGAAATGGAGAGAAGAGGAAAACAGCTCTAAAGCTTTTTAGATGGGTCAGAAATCTTTCATCAACATTCTTTTAATCAGAAATATTTTATTATGAGCAGCGTTCTCAAAAGCTGAGCTGCTTGCAAACACGTCCCCCAGAGAGATCGAAATGCACGTTCTCGTCTCAGGAACCCAACGCTGGAAAATCTGGGAATTTCATTTCAAAATCCCAACCTTTCATGTTGGGCTGGGGGATTTTGTTTCCTGTTTCCACATTTGTGTTTTCCTGTGCTATTTCTACATTCACCCATGACATGCAAATCTTGGTGTCATTCACAAACGCACGCGCTTCTAGGATGCACCAAAGCATTTTCAATTGCTCCTAAATGATACAGTATGAAACGTCCTACTCTTTTTTCCCTTGCTCATTGTGTCTCCTCTTGCACCGAGGCAGATCTGTACTTGAAGTCACTCTGATCTATGCGCCTTACTGCACAGCGGCCGTCTTACTGTCTGTGACTATCCCTGCGGTACCACCAGCCGGCTCCTGTTGGGGATGCCACACTGAAAATACAATGCATTATAAAGCAAAACAGAGTTGAGAATGAAATGCCTACATACAAGTTACAAGGATCAGTATTTTCTCCACCAATACTTGCAACCGCAACATAGTTTGGATTTCCAGTTTGCAGGAATGCTTGTGCATACTTGCTTTCATTCCAGGTCAGAACAAAAACTAATTTCCAGATGGGATTTACATTGTGTGGGCAGTTTTAAAAAGTTTTGACCAGTTCTATTAAGTCCAGAACCAGCTATTATAGTACTTTAATTGGATCTGAATTGAAGGTAAACAATTTGATTTAATTAACTGAGGGACAGAGACATTTAACCACAGTATCATATACGGTAAGGCAGGAAAGATTTGTCACATCAGTTATATAAACTGTAAACTGAGAAAGGATTCCAGGAAGAAAATAAGGAATCACACTATAATCACAGCCTTCAAAATAAGAAGTTACCACTAAAATTTGAACACAGATTAAAGAAAAAACAAGACAAATTATTTCACAGGGAAAAAAAAATAAACTAGAAACTAAAAACCTAGCAACTAAAAACTCTTTTAAACTAAAAAAAAAAATCCTGCTAGTCAAAAAAAGAGAAAGTTTTATTCAGAGTGGTGGAGAAAGAAAGGAAAACAGAGAACAGAAGGGAAAGGAAGTTTTTTAATTTGTTTTAAAGTTAAAATTTAAGACGCTTGAGTAGAAATAATTCCGCGGGTCCCCCCCTGGCTCCGGGCAGACTCCTCTCCCCAACACCAGCCGTCCAGACAGTTACAGCCCTTTGCAGGCTCATGTTCCAGTGTTATTCA